AAACTCAAAAATAAATCAATGATTATTGTTATTTACTACATAATAAAGTGAATGGAATTTAAAACTTAAATTATTTTGAAATATAATCACAAAATTGATTAACATTAATTGATTAATGACAATTAATTGTGCATTCATAACCGTTTTAATTAATCATTTTCATCCTAATCAATTATATTATCGTTGATATCACGAATGAAAACAAGGGGACACTAAATCCTCTCTTTTGAAAGCTAGAGACATCTTTGTTTTATATGCTCATATCGTCATCTTACGTTTTGCGCTAACAAAGAACACGATAACAATGGGTACTCTATAAAGGAAGCTAATTCTTGCAATAAAATGGCACAGGGACCTTCCCAGTTTTTTTTTTTTTTTTTTTTTTTTAATTACCTAAGTTTAATTACTCAAGTTTGAGGTACTATCAACTAAAGAGGCAGGAAGAAGCTTTAGTTTTTGTCACGGTTGAAGAAAATTGGCGACATATATTTATTTATAATATAGCAAAGTTTTTTTTGGCTTAATATTAATATTACATATTTTATTTATTTATTATTCAACTGTAATAACAGACAGTGATGAAAATGAAATAAAGCTAATTATTGATTTTATAAATATGTAATATTAAGCCAAGCAAATAGCACCATTAATAGCGTTGTCTATGGCAACGGTAAACGATCGATGTCAAGAATTGTCATCTTTTTTGTCCTTTTTATTGTCAATTTTCCTCATATTTTTGCTGATTTTTGCATAAAATCAGTATTTTTACATTCGATTAAACCATTAAAACCATCTAATAAATTATTTTGCATCGTACACGAAAATGGTTAGTATCATTGATTCATTAATTAATTAGTGACACAATTAATCAAAAGTATGAGCGAATAATAATTGGATGAACAAGAAGTAATGTATAATATGTATATTTCAAAATAATTTAAGCTACAATTATAGCAATATGTTGAAAAATTGTTATAATATTATCGTAATAATATCATAATTTTAATTAAAAGCTGATAATGATAGGATTATATAAGACAAGACTGATAATGATAAGGTTATATGTGATAAAGATAAGATTGATATTTGCTAATCAGTTTGGCTTCATTCAGAATCATTTAAAATTTTTTCAAAATTTGTCATATTACAAAATTAGCCAAATGTTTGGTAAATAAATTTTTGAATATATACGATAATTGATAAGCAAAAAAAAAAAATAATAATAAAAGATTGGTAAAGAGAGAGAAAGGGAAAGAGAGAGAAATGGGAAGATACGAAAATAGTTTTATCAATCAAATAAGAAATATTTTTAGGAAATGTTGGTTCTATAAAACCAACACTATTTCGTACTGTAAGCTATTTCCGGAAGTACTTACCATCAAAACATATTATTTCCTCTCTAAAGGTAAGTAAAATTTCATTCCAATTATCATAAGTCTAATAGATTTCTGATATATATTTTGGACAGATAATGCCAATAGATAATTTTGATATGGTAATTCTGATAGGTAATTTTAATAGGTAATTGTGGAAGGTAATTCTGCTAGGTAATTCCGATATGCAATTCTGGTAGATGACTCTAGCAGATGATATCTTGGGAGCTTATTCTGATAGGTCTGATAGATAATTCTGATAGGTAACTCTGATATGCAATTGTGATAGGTAATTCTAATGGGCAATTGTGGTAGATAATTCTGCTAGGTAATTCTGATATGCAATTCTAGTAGATGACTCTGGCAGATGATTTTGATTCTGACTGATAATCGTAGGAAGCTATTCTGATAGGCAGTTTTGATAGATAATTCTGATAGGTAACTCTGATATGCAATTCTGATAGATAATTCTGATACATAATTCCGATAGATATTCCTATATGTAATTCTGATAGGCAATTTTAACAGGGAATTGTGATAAGCAATTGTTTAGGTTGATAAGTAATTCTGTTCAATAATGTAGCCACAGTCAATTATTAATAGTACTATTGCATTTGACATTATTTCATTGATATATTGTTGAATTTTTGGTGCTGTATTGATAAGTTTATTTAAGAAAAAATTTTTTTTAATTTGTTTTTTTTTTAGAAAGAAAAAATGGAATGACTATAAGAAAAGATTTTTAATAAACTTAATTTTTAAAAGAGAAAAGATTTTTAATAAACTTAATTTTTAAAATTGTTTCAATTGAATATTTCAATTTTTTCCCTTTTTTATAAGGTGACCATCTAACTTAACTTGTGCTAATGAAATGACTATTATTCTTGTAAAATATCAATTAGGAATTTAGGAAGAAATAATTGAGGTCTTGGATGATGATAAATAACACCGT